GGATCGTTCACAATGTCTTGTTGAAATTACAAGCATGCCGTGACGAAGCATTCGGCCGGTGGTGGCCGCCGGAGCTATGACTTGTATACGACACCGGTGGCTCTAAAGCGCTGAGATAATGAGCCGCGGGACACGCAGGACGGCTGCGATCGCAAATTATCGCCACTTCGTTCCGCGTGCGAATAATATATTTGCGGAGAATAAGGCGCCGCGAGCGAGCGGGACGCCCGGTCGAGTCCTTAGGAAAATCCGGGGCGGAACCTTCTCCGAGACGAGGCGTCGACTCTCTATCCTGCAAGTTCCGTCGAAGGATCAACTTTCGGAGTACTTACAACGTTATACAGCTTGTCGTCTTGTCTTGATATTGTAAATAGAAGGAGGGACTTTCTCTATTCATAACCCGTTTGTTGATGATTATTCTTGGTTTTTTCTTTGCGACTTTGAACATTTCGATGGGGTTTGGAGATTCAAGAAAAGTGAAGGGGAAGGAGTTGTGAGGGCGGAGGTAACGATTGTGTGTCGATAACGCCGCGCGCGAACGGAGATTTAAATTCGACCTCGCAGGGTTGGAATAGCGCCGGCGTACTTCCGCTCGAGTCCTGACTGTAATCCAGAAACGATAGAATAAAAATTGCTAGGTTGAGATAATGATTCAAGGTCACCGAGGCAATTCAGTCTTGACTCGTGCCAAAACCTGTTGATCGAAGTTGCCGAGTTGATTGATAAGTACAAAGTGATAACTTTTATCAGCCGAGGAGACGCGCTCGGAGAAAGATAGCTGATACGATTTGTCTCGCCTCGCGACGTTTTTCGCGAAAATAAGAGAAACTCTTGATACGAACGTGTCAATGGTAGCGAGCGACGAACATGTTATAAATACGCCAGAAAGTGTCACCGACCGACACGGTAAATACTGGGAAGCGCAGAGTGTCTTCTTTTTATATGTTTATTCAAGTGACACATGTGCATTATGGATATCCGAAGCCATTAGCGAGGCAGCGTGAATCCCGTGCTACGCGATACACACATCGATACATGTCTGATAATTATCGATCACTGTCCTTCATAAACTAGGGTACTTCCAAAGCCTCCATAATTCATGGACGTACTCCCGGGTATCGCGCCACCCCTTTCGAAGACATCCGTCCCCGTCCCTCTTTCGAAGACGCTATCGCATTATTTACTCCTCATTATCGTCCTTAAATCACCCCGCCGTACCGGGGAGGCTCGAAACTGCCATTACCTCTCTTTAATCGGCAAATAATAAAAATCAGCCCGGTGCTTCAAGGCGCGCGATGGCTTCTCAATAAAGACATTGTCCGCGGAGCAAATTCTTATCCGTTAAAAGGCATCCCGTCGGTGAGAACAGAACGCGCGCGCCATCCCCTTCCTCATCCTATCTTTCCCCGAGACAAGGGGGACGAGCGAACAAGGATACGACGTCGACAAGAGGAGGAACGGGATCGGAGATTATCGGCACCCGGGATTACAACGGGCTCGAAGGCTTCGAAGCAAACGATTTTCGTTGCGCGCGCGCAGAACTGCAGGGGTGGTAAAGAGGACAGAGGAATAGCGGACGGTGGTTGAAGGCGACGGAAAAGGAGGAGTGGTTGTTATTGGCTCTAAGGAGGATACTTATTGAACTCTTAGCGGCGTTTTTATCACTCCTTTCTCACGCGCGCGCCGCTTTAAGTGTTTTTGGCTTTGTTTAAGGGCTCCTGTACACCCGCTCTCCCCCTTCCCTCCTCCTCTTCCTTCTCCTCGCCGTCGTTTTCGCCTCTCTCGCATTATACACTCTTAACAGGTCACGCTTCCACCCGCCCCGCCGCGCTCCTTTTCCTTTACCGCGAGATTTTTACGGGCTCGACCTCCTTGCACGCCGCTTCGTAAACCACGCAAAGTGCACGGCACTAAAGGGTGCAACTACCACTTAGGCTCTTCCTGACCACTTCCGGGGGGAAAAAAGGCTTCGAGTAGCGGCCGGATAACTCGTATTCTATATTACCTCTCGAAGATATATCGACCCACGGCCAGTTCTATATACTCTGTTCAATTCGCCATTTAATCTGCATATCCTTCTCTTGAAACTCCCCTGCTTGAAACGTGCAAGGTACACATGATATCTTAAAATAACGGCAACGAACCGCTATTATCATCATTGCCTTTCGATTTCTCATTGCTTATGCTCTTCTCGAGTCTGTATTTTTCGCGTGTACTCAACACCTCGTCGAAGCGGAAGAAAAAATCCGGCAAAATGTCGGAAACTTTGTGTGACCATTCTCTCCAGCTGAACCGCGCTGTACACGTCAGACGCAGACATATCATTCTCTCTGTTGCCGCGCGCATCTACAAATTAATTAAGTACACGCTATTAATCGACTTTAATTGCACATCCGTGAGAAGCGCATAACGATTCGACATATCTCGCGCGCGACACTCTATTCCTAGACAAAACAAAACGCAGAAGGACGGGACCGTCGTTTCTACAAGACGCCCGTAGTTTATTAGGCCGAATATTCGGCGGTAAAACTGAAGGATGACCGTCATTATCTCCATTCATCCGCGTCGCACGGCAGCTGCACGTTGCAGCTCATGATTGCGCCGGGCGGTGCAGATCGAGCCGCTCTCCTCTCGGAGACGTTAACGCGTCCATCGCGGCTATTTTTGCCGGGAGCGAAATCGCGCTCGCGCCTCCCCTGGGTTATTTACCCTCCCGATGAATATACGATAATGTTATCGCGCGGGCTGCTGACGACCGCCGCCCGGTGAATTGTAATAAAAGGTCCGCACCGCATTCCAACGTTTTAACGACCCGAACCAACCGAAAGTCCCGACATACCGTTCGTTGGACGCGGAGTCCCCACGACATGCCATTCGTCGTTACTAAATATATATCGAGATGCACCTATTCAACCGGACACGACCACGTTTGATGCGCACGACGGCAATATCGTGAGAGAGAGAGGTACGAGGGTGGATCATGGGGTTACGCTCTTCTAAATTGACTTCGTTATCTATTTCGATAGCCGATCGGCCGTCATTAGTTACACGTTTACTACTTATAGCCCGGAGTGAGAGTTCGCGTGGTGTTCCGCGGCGGAGTAATTTGAAACGTTTATCGCGAATCTAGGTCCTGATCGTTTATCTCTCTCGCGCAGGAAAAATGCCACGCGAGAGTTGCGAAACGGCTTAACTGAATTCATTACTTGCCGCTTGTGGGCCGATCATGCCCTCGGGCTGTCTTCGAATGGGATTCGCCATGCAAAATCCACAATTGCATCTGTCTCTAACTCAAATGCGTCCGTTTACTTCGTAAAAATTCGTATATAATTTCTCGTACGATAAGGGAGCGTGAGATTTGGCAGGGTTGCGCGCGAAAAAAGTTACTTCGGTTTGGCGTTATAATCAATGTTATGATACGTTACTTACACGGAGGAGAGGGGAGAAAGAGGATATTTATGGGGCTGTACGACAATTACGTCGCGCAGAATTGGGTATTTTTCACCTACCACCTCCCCCTTCGTCACGATTCGTCACAGAGTATTTGCCCAATCCCTTCCAATATTACGTGATATATAGAATTACCCTTCCCCTGCCGATACGTAAAATAAGACAAAATAGCTTATAACCATATTTTAGATAATAATTATTAGACTGCACGCTACTATCTTTTCCTAAAATACAAATACGTTTTAGACACCAAATTAATTATTTTATTTTCTAATTCTGATCAGTAAAAGTTGTGTTCTTAAAAAAGTAAATATTCAAAATTTACATTCTGATTATTAATATAAAATCATGTCAAAATTAAAAAATTTTCTCCAAATGAAACTAAATGTGTCAGGAATGCAAACTAAGTGGATAAATGTGCATCCATATTTACAAGTTATGCCATCTAATGTGACGTTCCATGGCCTTTACTCCCCCTCCCTCTCCTTATCATCACAGCTGTTACGCAAGTTAATAAACCCCCTCCTCGTGATGTGACGTAATTATTGAATGGGCCCTTATGACCTTTTCCAAATAAAATTTTTTTTAGACTTTTACAATGTTTTCTAGTAACGCAGGAAATAGTCTGTGAATAATCTTGTCTGTATGTTATCTTGCTAAGGAATATATGTAGTAAATTTTTTAATAGTAACGTCTCTTCAGTTTCCAAGATACAAATAGAACATGTGAAATGGAAAGTTAATATATTAAGGCAGAGAATGTGTCGATGTGTGGCTCAGTTGCGAAAATTCTGCGGTAATTTTCACTAAAAAATTCTGCCCGTGTGTGGAGAAAGTAGCGAGGTCGGAAAGAGAAAGAGAGAGAGAGAGAGAAAGAGAGTTCTGATCCATACTGAGCTCGTGATCGTCAATCAAACAGTTCGGTTGAAAAATACACAGTTCGAAGGCCCGGCCGACGACAGCATTAATAAAACAGGGGTTGAGTGTCAGGCATGCGTGCGGTATACGAACGTGATTGCGTGGAACAGAGCGGCATAGGCGGATGAAGAAAGAGACGGACGACAAACCGCCGAATGCGGATATCGAACACGAGTAGCAACGTTAGTCATTCACTTGGACGTGCCGCAGCTCACGCGTGTCTGCACGCGGAAATCGCGCTAACATACACACGGTGGTTTCGCACGCTGCAACACTGCGTTAAACCGCGTTATCGTTCGCGAACGAGCGCTCTCGATTTTATCAATCCTGTCGTGAGCTGCGTAAGAAGTCTGCTCGCTTTCATCGCAGCGACAGTACATTTCATTGCCTACGTTTCGATACTAATAACAGGGTAAACGTGGAAAAGAAAACCAATATCCGTAAGAGTTAGCATTTTTCCACTCTTCCGCCCAGAGACGATTCGTTACATCATCGAATTTATTAGACGGGGAAAGTGGGACTGATTTGAAACGTCCGGTATATCCGGTCGAAACGTTGAGCTTTACAATCGTCATTCCAGGGAGACGAGAGAATAACATTTTAGCAGAAGGTTTCAAGTTTGATCCAACTCACCTCTTTGTCTTTGGCCTGCAGTTCCTGCTCGAGGTTGCTGTTAGGCGTCCTCCTGGGATTGCTGGCATCGTGTACTTGCTGTTGATCGTTTCCCTGCGGAGGTTGAGACAATTGGTGCCCCTCAGTCTTGGAATTGCTGTCATTCGCCGCGGCGAGTTGTTCCTTTAACGCGGATACTTCTTTCTCCGCCAAAGTTGCTCTCTGAAACGAGAAGAAAAGAGGATAATGAGTGACTCACGAGCGATGGCATTTGCAATTTGCGATACTTAGCGCGCGGTCGCCTCGATAAGAACTACCGGCTCCAATTCGCCTTTTTATTCTTATCCGTTCGATCAAACACACGTATACACGCATACACATACGAGACGGGTAATCGTGTTACGTTAAATTGCCAATGCGAGTTCGAGCGATGTCATTAGCGTCGCGAAACACAAAATGAGCGACGTGACATTTTTTTCAATCAGTTCCATCGATACACCCGAGTACATCGTGCAACCTTCTTACGTCGCAGAGACTTGTCAGAAGTCGTCGCTTTCAGGATGCATCAATAGAAAAGCGAAAAGTCTTGTTGTTTCCCGATAATGATAAACGATAGATTTCGATGGCGAGACGTGGGTACTCCGCAATTCGCGCGCTTACATTCCGCCAAAGATGTTTAATTCTGCAATGCAGTCGGAGTTAACGGCACAGACGATTACCGCTTGCGCTCCGTGTAAATTTTTCACGGCGGTCCCGATCGTTAAATTACCGCCGCGGAACCGTGCGACGCGAAATCAATCAATTCTCGCCGGCTGCGCCTAATTTCGCGGTTGCGAAAAGCCGACAAAAATAGAAACGACGGGTACGTCGGGTTACGAGACTGCTTTGATATTCTCAGCGCAGGAAATGGCGTGCCAGCGCGCCGCGCTTTCTTAAATCATGGACATTGTGCCGCACACAGTCGGTTGCTCTGTGCGGTGTGTGTGATTTTTTAATGCGTCGTAATTCGAGATTGCACGTATTTACGTACGCGTGTCAAACCATACGTGTGACACACCGCACGTGAAAAATTAACACGTTGACATTCGCAAAATTAGCACGTGTATACGCGATCGAGGACCATCTTTCTCTCTTTCTTTAGGTACGAAAGAAATTATAAATAAGACTGTGTATGTGATTTTAAAAGCTCGGGAAAACAGGACTTTCTACAATTTTACCGCGAATTATTTCGGATAAATAAAAACACCGGTGAAAATACGCTTAATTATTTTTTCTGCGGATTTTTCGCCTTTTTCTCGAGGAAAAATTGAGAAAAAAAATGGTTTTCTTTAAATTATAGCTGCGTATGATTTCCGATCGAGAAGGTACCACAAAAAGCCTACAAGAGACGGCAAGCACGGTTTTAAGTCGTAAAAACGAAGAAAATGTTGCATCCTCACACACAATCTGCGTATCTCGTGATAAATCGCGACGACTAAGAAAATATATCGCGTTACGCCGGCGACATTTTTCTCAGATTCAGCGTTCGTTGACACGCGTAGTGTAAACGCGCTTGTGACGCCGCAATCGTCTCAGTCACAATAATTAGGCTGTATACGTCGCGACGTGCGCTTCTGCAGAAGCCGTTCATGCATATCGGCGCGCAAAAGCGACGCGAAGGTGTAGCTCTCTCACGGGGGGAAGAAGGGGGAGACCATTAACGACAGAATACTTTCGGCAGGTGCGTCTACCTTTGCTAGATCTCGAGTAGAGCGGCCGTTAATTAGCGTGTGCCGACGTTGCGACCGCGATGTTACCTTTTAGCAACTGTCTTAAGCGCGCCGGAGACATGTGATCCGAGCGAGAGTCAACTGACTCTTTCGAATTACGGCCCATCGGCGGGAGATAAAGAAAGAGAAGTTCCGCGTTGATACGGAAATAACGAAGGTATCGCCAGCGGCGAGCGCACAGGGAGGATTACCTTTTTTCAAACTTTCCCCATAAAGTATCTAATAAATATTGCTCGCCGTTCTGTTACGCCGGCTTGGATATTAATTATAGCAGCTTTTACATTCAAAGTAGCCCGAACCGGCCTGCTATATTTGCGACATGCACATGCCGGATAGTTATCCCCCCCACTTGTAATTCTTGTTCTCTCTCGTGACTCTTTTGTCCGTCTCTCTTTCTCTTCCCTCTTTTCCCCGATGTCCGCTTTATCCGTGTTCGCGGTGGTCCGATAGGAAGGCGTCCAGGAAGGGATTCGAGATCGATTGCCCGAATCAAACAGGTTATACCGCTTCTACACCGCACACCGCATCGGATAGGAAACCGGACTTGTTTCTACAATTGAACAATTGAATGTCGATGGTGCGACCGTTAGTCATACATCAATTAATTAGCATCCGTGTTATCCGAGCGATCTCGATTAATTATTGCTGAATCAGCGATTCGCTGTCTTCTTCCGAACTACTAATTTGCTTACGATCCGCAATGTAGGCGAAAAATCTGAGCCGCGAATGAAAGATTTCACACGAATTTGATCGTATGAAAGAGGTAGTGACGCGACGTGCGATTTTTCAGGAGCTTTTCTCTGCAGCTTACGTAAACACGAATATCCGAGCGGTGTACGTGTGTATTATCGGCGTGTATCGATCTGTCAATGTGTGACGTCTTATGAGACGCGCATATGGCGTCGCGATCGGCAAATGGTCAGGAGAGGTGAGGACGAGCGTGGAACACGGACGGAGTCGGAGACAGAGGGAGAGAGAGAGAGAAGGAGAAGCAGAAGCACCAGGCTACGGCGGGCAAGTAATGACCCATTGTTTCCTGCAAAAAGCCTTGACGATGTTATCGATAATTGCGAAATGATACGGGAAGCATAAATACATATCCGAGAGCGAGCCGTAATATACGGCTGTTCCAATGGCGGATGCGTATCGATAGCTGCCGTCTGGTAGCATCCTGCGTATTTGTCACGTGGACATACGTCAGGAAGCGGTTGTGTGGCAGCGGGGGAAATCCCGAGGACTCGTGGCGAGCTGATAGAGAGAGGATCGGGAGAGGAGATCGCCGATAACGATCGTCCTCCCGCGCAGAACTACCGCGCGATCGTAATATTAGCAGCGGAAGTCGTTGGAGGATAATGGTTTTCTTCGAACGCGTCCCGAACGATCGCGCGTCAGTGGTCGTGATGCGCGGGATTGGAGCGAAAAAGTTTCGTTGCCAGACGAGGAGATAACACCGGGTATCGCACCGATGCATCTCGTTATTATCAGCGCTAAATATCCGCCATTGCGAAGAAGTACGGACTGCGATCGGCGCGTATTCATATTTTGTAATCAAATCGCGCTACGTCGAGCGACTGATTTGAATTTCTCGCCGTGCACTCGCATCTCCGTCGGAAGTGGATGACTCAGCACCCGTTCGCAAAAAGTGTCATGACACGAGCGTCACATTGTGGATGCAACGTGCTATAAATCTTTCCTGAGAAACGATGCGCATAAATTAATTCGCGGCGGATGTATCCCTTTTCTTGATGTTTAACATCATTTTTAATGTGTACATATATGTACATATGTGCATACACATGTATATACGTACACACACACATATATATATGTGTGTGTATATATATATAAGATCATGGCGAATCGAAAAGTGAATACTTTCTGAGATATTTTGCATTTCTGGGCCCGCAAGGGCATAGAAGGCTCGATAAGTACCTAGATTAGTTATATTTCACTAGTTATATTTCACATCTCCACACGCAACGCCGCGGTACTTTCTGAGACATTTTATTTTTTTATTCCGATATTCCTTGATACAAGATATGAGATATCTCACGCAGTATTCGCTTTCTGATAACATCACTTCAACACTTTTCTACGTAGAATGACAGATGGAACGGGTCTCTGTAAGCGATCGTAAAGAAACCAAAAAATTTCGTTGCATTGTGCAAATGCATCGATGCATCGATGTGTAATAATTAATATCAATAATCGACTTCTCTCATATTATTATGCGCAAAAAGTGTTAAGGAGATGTTATCGAATAATGAATATTTTATATATGATATACGCTGTATACACATACATATATATACACGTCACCGAGGCCGTCAAATATTGCGAGACACCGTGCGATATTCGAGTTTTAATTTCAGCAACCCTACGAAAGACTGCCGATGAGATTCCGAATATTCCGAGACAGATAGTTACGATACCATTAGTAACGAGATCGCGATATCGAGCATAATAGACCGAGCGGTCGTGTAATGTGAGCGGAGGAACTTTACATTGTCCTATAGCGACAATATGAATATCCCCGTTTCATAGAACAATCGATCGCCTTCAACGTGACTGATGTCCGGTAAAAACTGACGTGGTTCGGTTCGGCTGTCTATATAATACTGTAGGCATCGAACTCGCTCCGCTCGAGGGAACGCTTCTAGGCCGCCCGCGGTGTAGCCCGCGGCGATATTTCACCGTCGAATTCGTAATTACTTTAATTGGCTCCAGATGCTAATTAATGGCCTAAACATATGCCGGCGTTATATAGATCCGGCCCGATAGGGCAACCACCTATACGCTGACGTTACCCCGCAGGCAGGGATCGGGGTGAGAACGCATGTGTTTGTCATTACATGCACCGCGGCGATTTTATCGCTTCTGAATAACATCCTCCGCCCCGCCGTCGTCTCTCGCCTTCCGCTCTACACCTTCCGTATCAGATCCAGAAAGCGTCGATCGGCGATTAAAGTGCTCGCGCGTCGGTTAACAATAAACGGGCTGCCGTCCCGTCGGAAGAATACGAGCGTCCGTTAATCGTCCGATAATCACCAATGAATTTCCGGCCCGTCCAATTGTAACGACACATCGATTTGATCGACCGGCTCAATTCAACGGACGTATCGAGCTCGGAGCCGTATAGATTTCAATTTACGCTTCTCCCGTACAGAATCAGTTGAGAATGAATTTTACAGTCGGTCGGTGCGAAATAACATATTTACTTTCGCACTGCTTGCAAAAAGCATCGCGTGTTGTTCGCGTTAACGGAAACATATTTATCACGACTATAGCAGCTGTTCGATCGGGAGACTCGCCAAGGTAACAACGGATGTAACAAAGTACTCGAGGCGGGTCTCACGATACCATCGAATTACTTCGTTACGGAGGCACGTCTGCTCGATAATGGCTCGCTCTTTTTCGCCTATCATTACGAGATGCTACTGGCAGCAGCCGCCG